TCACTTCCTACCCCGATTGTGGCGAGCAGTGCAAACTAGTTATAACGGTTGCATACTCTTTTTTAAATTATGAGCAAGAAACATGCTTCTTAAAGTATCCAATCACTAATATCGGTATTACTTCGTAATACGTACAGTACGGTATCACAGTACAGTTCGGCAGCATGTGCGTCAATTACACACATGGCTGTACTGACAAAGTTGTGCGGCTACAGAAGGCCAAACACTTGTATAAGCAACCAGAGTGTACGAAGCTTTTAACCAGGCCAAACGATTACTCATTCCGAGAGAGCGCCATCGCTGTAGTAATTCCGAATTCAGTTTTTTGGGCCCCGCAGAATCGCCTGAATTTTTCAATATCTGGAAACTCGGCATCAGGCATTTCCCACGAAAACGTTAGTAGTATGACATGGAACATTACGCCGGCAGTTTTTTTACTTTCCGTAATGGCAGGCGTTATTGTGACCGACTGAAAGGTACGAAGACGAGCCATTCGTGACCGACTGACCACCGACGTGACCGATTGTGCCCGACGAAGAAATTCACCCTTCTTGTATATGCTGTATAATCCGGATACGAGCACTTAGTGTTTTTAGAGCAAAGTCATCCTCAAGGCCGATGTTAACCTCAAGGACGAATCCAACCTTTCTGTGATGTTTCCGACACAATGTGTTTTAACAGCAACTAAATAATTCAAGTTAAACAAAGTGTATTGCTTCACATGCACATCTGCAAGTAGCGATAACGCTGGTACTGCAGTGCCTTCTTACTCAATTCACCTGTGCTTTCTCCGCTACAGAACGTTTCGAATGCAAGCAGAACGTACACCCCACAGTTGTAGCTGTCTAGTTGGACTTCAGCATCCGCAACATAGGGAACCACTCTGTAACGTCCTGGTGTAGCCGACATGTGTTGCACAAGTTTGTGCGCTAGTACTCTAAGGGTACCAGTGTAGCTGCTGCTCATGGAATCATAGTACTTGATAGTTGTCTCAGCTGTGTTGATCATGATACCGCACCAGTGCGTGCCGTTACAGCTCACTGGAAGCAGTATAATTCGCCCAGTAATACAACTGAACAAGTGCTTTAACTCTTCGTCTGGAATGCTCACATTTCCTCTCTCCACGATACCCCCATATCGCTGGGTCAACAGTCATGACTTCCTCTTGCTGCCCAAATAGCTTTGCCATTGCCTCTGCCAACGCAGTGTCACTAAGTAGTGATCTGCATGCAAAGTCAACGATCCGAATCTACAAAATACGTATACAAAGTGTCAGTTGCTGCTACCTTAAAATATGCAAAGTGCTTACCCTTTCAGAGAAAATCGGGATTGCTTCTAAGTT